TTTTTTTTTTAATTTAACGAACAATAATGACGAATTATAAATAAATAATCTTTGAACGAAATGTAGAACAAGATTTCACTTGAAAATTCATTACCGATCAATCTAGTTATTAAATTAACATAATACTCTAGAGATTATTATTAAAACAAAAACAAAACACAAAAAAAAAAGAAAAAGTAGAACAACTTGAAAATAATCAAGCAAAACATTCACCAAACGAGTTTAACATTATACCAAACACATAGAAATGTGAATATAATATTTAATATTTTTATGTGGTGTTTAATCTACATCCAACGTTTCGTATTACAAATCTTTTTACCATATACATATATATATATATATATAAAAGATAAAATTAAACAAGTATAATTTACAAATAAACATTATTAACCATTAGTTATTTTTGTAAAATAAAATTATTAATAAATAAGTATCGTAGGGTGTTTTAAATTAATCAAAACTAAGTATCTAGTTCTTTTAAATATCCAAATTCCCTAACGATAACTTATTTATTAATTATTAACACCATATTGAGAATTATTACACATTAGACCCATAGAAAATAATAAATAAATAAATAAACAAATAAATAAAAATAATAACTCACCATACAATGGTCCAATGACGACCATAACAATGATCATAAGCATGATGACCCTTTTCTGTCTATTATTGGCACCCTTTTTGAATGCAACGCTGAAAGTTTCTTCTATGTGTTTCAATGAAAAAAAGTCCTTGGCCGAGGCAAGGAATGATACTTTATTATTCTTATCAATAAATTTATCTTTGTCAATTTGTTTATTAATTGGTCTTGGTGGTTCTTTTATAACGACCAATCCGTATACGAAACTCATGACATAACAAATCATAGATATACTGAATACACCATAGAAACCAAGTTTCATATACAAAACACCGGATAGGGCCATACCTATTGGTACGCCAAGTGAAAAGAAAACATTAGCCGCACCTATTCTCAATGTCCTTGATTCAATCGAGGTTATATCTGCGATATAACTGAATACACCCATAAACATTGTAAACCAACCACCAGCCAATGAAGGCCATAAAGCTTCCAAAACACCGGTAGCCTCCATCGGTAATTCGTAAAACCAATAAGTGCATGCTATCAAACTGACACTACTCAAAAATTCTCCAACAATTGGTAACAACATACACGGTTTCCTATAACCAGTTTTATCGCTCCACGCTCCCATAAACAATATCAATAATATTGGTAGACCACTTTGCAATGCTGTTTTCCACGTTTGCATACCGGCGACCAATTGTTGCACAGCTGTTTCTTCATTCTCCAAACCTGTCGTATTTCTTATTGCCAAATTCGTACAAATCTCATCGGAATATGCCAAATTGACTCGACAAGCTTTTTCTAAATTTAAATTTTGCGTTGCCAATGATGCCAACATACTTGGTATCACGTAACATGCTATCATTGGTTCGACTGTTATGTTGCTCGTTAAAAGTGTCCATTTTTGACGTATTGTCATTGATTTCCATGGTATCCTTGATATTATTTCTTCTTCTTTCAATTTCATCGGTTCGATCTGTTTTTCTTTATTAACGGATACTACTGATGTAACTGTTGTTGTTGTTGTTGTTGTTGTTGCTGCTGCTGCTGCTTCTGCTGCTGCAGTTGCTGCTGCTGCAGTTGCATTCGCCATCTCGAATGAGATGGCTCACCGATTTATATATATATATATATAAGTGTATTTGTATGTGTATATATATATATATTTTGTTAAACAAACAAGTATTATATTATTAAAGTAATAATTATTCTTCTTTTTCTTCTTTTTGATTAATATAATTATTGTTTTTTGTTTAAATTTGTTTGATATACAATATTAAAATAATCCGTTATGGTGATACGTAACAACTGTATTTTTTATATATATCTTTCTCTCTCTCACTCTCTCTCTCTCTCTCTCTCTCTCTCTCTGTCAAAAAAATAAAGACAAACGATATAAATGTTGAGATATGTAGGGTAGACCGTCAATGTAGAACGCGAGAACGAATGCTGCACGGATAGTGGTACTCGATACAGTCAGAACTCGCGTTTAAATATGTTCTCGCACTAATGCGTAATACGAGAGTGTGTAGGTGCTTTTCCAAGTGGTACGAGTCAATAATAATTGCTCCTAACCCAAGATAAAACTCTGGGCCCCACGGAGGTGGTGTTTTGTTTTGTTTTGTTTCTCTTTTATTTGAAATATTTTCTTTCTTTCTTTCTTTTTTTTTTTTTTTTCTTTAAATTGAAGACAATTTTCTTTTTTTCGTATTTATAATTTTCTAAGCTTGCTTTTCTTTTCTTTTTTTTTTATTTATCTACACCTTTCTTTTTGTTTTTCTTTTTTCATAGAAACTCATGCGTGATGTTAAATGATATATTATCAATTTTATTAACTACGAATTATATATTTGTTTAAGTTTTTTAATATTTTAATTTGATTTCCCTTTTCTTTAACAATTAATTTTTGTTTTTTCTTACTGACTGACTAATTTCGTACGATAATTGTTAAAATTTATTCAATGATTTTAATCATTTTATGTATCAAAAAAGATAATTCTTTAGTTTTATTTTAAAATTTTCAAACGTTTTTTTCATCCATTCGTGATAATAAAAACACACAAAAAAAAATGCATTATTTCGATAAAATATTACAACTTCTGTATACAATAAAATTCTTTCCCTTTTTTTTTTATTATTTTATACTATCCGTAATATAATATAATTGACATCAACTAAAAATTAATACCATAACAACATTTTTTTTTATAAAGTACAAATAATCACGTATAATTCCCATATATATATAAACCCATTTTTTGTTCAATGACATTTAATCCACGTTATAAAAGAAAAAAGAAAATCCCCGTGCAAAACGATGGAACGAAAAATCGTAACGAATCATAAAAAAAAAAAAAATTAATAATAATAAACCAATAATTAACCAATAATTAATCAATTCCCTTTTCGATACGTGTTCGAAGTATCTCGTATAATTATACTATACTCGTTTGAAATTTAATTTAAAAAAAAAAAAAAACCAAAAGAAAACCATATAACTCTTTTCCTCAATTAAACAACCAAAAACAACCAAAACAAAACAAAACAAAACAAAAAGTAATATCGATGAAAACAAAAAACGTTTACTACGACAAATCTTATCGTCAATACAATACAATACATACATACATACATACATACATATATAAAAAAAAAATTATTATAATATATCTATATTATAATGAGAAATATATTCGTCAATGAGTTTTACTTATTGGAAAGTATCTCTTTTAATTTTATCAAGACACCGAGTCCGCGAGAATACACCGTCCTACTACCGTTCCTACTTCTGTCTAATGTTCCATTGTAAATCGTGAATACGCGTGTTGGCTGGCTACTATCTTCCCTCCATCTTTTTCCTCCTACCTCCTACCTCCTACCTCCTACCTCCTCCTCCTACCTCCTCCTCCTGTTATTTCATCTCCTCCTGTGTGTAACATTACCACCACCAATATCACTTTTCTTCTTTCTCATTCTCACTCTCACTCTCACTCTCACTCTCTCTGTCTCTCTCACTCTCTCTGTCTCTCTCACTCTCACTCAGTGTCTCTTACTTCAACATCAGCTAACAATTTCCTTCTTCTTTCTCCTCCACCACCTCCAGCAACTTCTCCTCATCCTCCTATACCTCCCCCCCCCCTCACCCAACCCTCTTCGACAACCTAATATTCTTCCCCTCTTCGATATTAAAGAGAGTTGCCTGCCCCTCGAGTACATCCACCCAGTAGTCTGGTCCATACTCTAAACGTTTGTCAGTGTTTCATCAGAGTAACATCTAAACATCAGTTACCTTTCATTTATTTTCTTACCAAAAAAAGTTCTATGGATAATAATAATAGTAATAAATAAATAATTGAATAATAATTGTTTGTCACATGTCGATAAAAGAAAATGATTATTATTAAATGTATCATAGAGAAGTTGGATAAGATAGAAAAAGAAAGAAAAATTAGATGGTTACGTTTTGATTTTGTTGTGAACTTGGTTGTGTCCTATTATTGAAATTTATTTAGTAATTACTCGATTATCAATCTTCAGAATTTTTTATGTATTAAAAATATATAATATATATAATATAATATAATAAATATAATATATAATA